GGTGGGGTAGCTTCCTCCTGGCTGGAAGTTTGACCTTTGAAAGTATCAGCTACACAACTTTAACGCTGTATGGACTTCGATGCTGCTGAGAGAATCCGTTTATTTGATGCCTACTACCTGCTGCTGATATCATAAACGACTGTCTTTACTTGTTGATCCGTTCTTTCAAGAGGAAGAGAGTTTCAGAAGCATAAAACAACAGTACAGCCAACACTGGCGGTAAACGAGACTTAGTCTTCAATACCAGAGACCGTCGTCAGAGGTGCAAGAGGCAAAGAACACAATCCAGGACAGACAGGAACTTTGGTTTATATAACCGATTTTTTGATTTGGTGTCAGTGAATCCATTCACCATTTCTCTGTTCAATGTCTTTCTCTGAGTCTGTGCTACCGCAGTTCTGTCATTAACAATAAAAGTGTGGATATCAAGTAATTCATTCTGCTGCAACGAACGCTACATTAAAATGTCATCTGCCATTTGTGCCATTTCTTTCAAATATTGTGTCTGCACCTACGTGAATATTAAACTGTGTAATATGTGGCTATAAGTAGAACATCTTGATATCCACCGAAAGACTAAGTCCCAAAACAAAAGGCGGATATAAGCCTCGGAAGCGGGTACGTCTTCTGATGCATCTGGTTCAATGTTAGCAAAAGCAAGACAATCAATAAATTCTTTATTTTACACAATTCTAATGTTTCGACCGAAATGGCAAAATATATCATAAGGGAATGATTAAACAGAGAAAGGGTTAATAGAGGAACATATTTCTTGTCTTTCCAGCTATTAGTCCTGTAATCAGAAGATATACCAATTTCCAATCATCCGCTGTCCATTGTATGATATAGGTAGGAGTTTCTTAAGTTATCTGGAAATGAAGCTTTTTAAAAGAATTGCGGGCGTAATGAGAGACTTGAGGAGGTTGAGAAACACGACAGTTCAAGATATGTCGATTGTAAGCCGCTCTTTTCCCCAAATCTACCAGTTACTTTGGTGTGGTCAGCTGAAGAGAATGGCAGAGGCGAAACCAAGGTGAATTTTCTAGGCAAATCCACAGGGAAGATAACCTAGGGGCAAACCATAAATCATGTAGCTTGTTAACATCGAATGCCCGGCATTATCACACTTCGGAATCTCGACCATTGGAAAAGCCTTCTGAAACAGCTGCCTCCGCGACAAAAAACAGCGGCTGTGAAATTCATTGAATAAATGAAAGAAAGTGGAAGTTCCTACTATTATCTAATTCGAAAAGATAAACATGGCGTAAACCGAAACAGCTAATTCTCCAATTAGCGGCCCTAGAAAACT